ATAGTAGGCTTTGAACCCCTTATTGATGATCTTCCCCTAATGGAACTCGACAACATATTTTTCCAGCAAGACCTCAGAACGCTGAAGTTATCAGCAAATTTTTGCAGCTAATTTCGAGAATAATTGAATAGCTAACCAAGATTCCAGCCGTTGACCGTCGAGGCCGCCGAACTTAGCGCCTGTTATCCTTAGTTGATTTTTTTTATCTTTGCGGAAGAATAAAGGTTCTTAAAATTGCCCGTATAATCTAAACAAGAATATTAGAAGTACTTATCGGTTAGGCGAGGGTATATATCTTTCACCCTCACTGAGTTAATGAATGTTCAAAAACGGTCCCGTCTATCCATAACAGAAGACAGAAGACGGTCGACATGTAGCAAAAAACACCTGTAGCAAAATCTCATGTCTTGGTTCGCTATTAATTTTTATTGTTATTAGATATAGTTTAAATATGTTGATGTTGTTAAATATAGTTTAAATTGTTATAAAATTCTGCATCTCTCATTGTAAATATTATTTTTGTTTTAATTGCTGCTCACAACTAGAATTTTTTTTGCATTACAGTCAGCATCGTTCAAAGCCTACTTATTCAAAGTGGGCGAATTTTTGAAAAATCTCTATCTCGAAGAGGAATCAAGCAAAATATGAAGTATGCTATATTTTCGGAAAGGCAATTTTAAATTATTTTCAACTAATTAAAAATATACAGGGTGTTCCATATAAAAAATCAAATTTTTTGTTGATAATTCTTAAATTATTAATTTTGAAAAAATATACTTAAACCATTAAATTCTGCATAAAAGGTGCTTTGAAAATGTTTTCACCAAAATACAAAATTTTCCATAGCAAAAAAGTTATAGCGATTTTTTAAAATGCACATTTTTGAAAAACACCTGTAACTCCGAAACGGTAACAGATATCGATGTGCGGTTTTCGCCATCATGTCTTTGATAAATACTAGTTTTTCATCTATCTCCTATAGAAAGGGTGTTTTCCTTTAAAAGCGTCCAATTTGACCCACCCTGTACAAGGCAAATATACTCAAGGTGGTTTGTCATTGCCTTCCTTGAGGTGGCTCGCTCTATTTAGGTAAATAAATATTTTATTTAAATAAATAAAGCGACCGTACTGGCTGAGGATCGAACCCAGTACCATCCCATCTCTCGCATCGCAGGTCGACACACTAACTGCTTGCGCTACGGCCGGCCACTTAATGTCATTAACTTGCCTAAATGTTAAATAAGTACTCATGGATTCCTCATCAAAAATATAATGCGAATTTAAAGTGTCTGGATAAAAAAACCCAAGCATGTTTTAAAAAAATTAAATAAAAATTTATGGGGTCGAATCAAGAACGAACATGGATAAATGACAATTAATAGTGTAAGCGGCACATCAAGAAAAATTGGCAAAATCTGACGGTTTATGCAGAAAGCAAGAAATGTTGCATGTGGTCTTAACATAGTTATTACATTGAATTTACCCGCAGCACCTCGATTTCCGGACACGTTAAATCCAAGATGTATCCATTTTATAAAAAGAAGGAAAAGCGCCAAAATTGCGATATAATTGGGGAACAACTTTCATTACGATGTCTTGGAGTTGGTGTTGTAACCATGGAAAGTTCGCTTGGTAAAATGTTGGTAAATTATACGATCAAACGAACTTACCTGAAGTGAAGTTCGATCGTAATTATATGTGGCGTCCAGTCCGAATGTATTATCTTGATTTTTCTATACGTAGTACCGTCCCTGCGTGCACAATTTTAAAGCTATAAGCTAAATTCCCTTCCGTTGCTAGTCTAGGTGGCGGCGCCGCCGCCGGCCCTGGAGCGGCGGTATTCATTTTTCAAAGATTTATTCATTAATTCAAGCGACCATGGGGCAAAACGGGAAGGGTGGGAAGATAGTACATTCGGACTGGACGCCTCATATAATTACGATCGAACTTCACTTCAGGTAAGTTCGTTTGATCGTATAATTATATTCGCGTCCAGTCCGAATGTATTATCTTGATTTTTCTATACGTAGATGTTTAAAGAACTGATGGTTGCAAATTAATGAATGCCGTGCAGAAAGCATTTTTTTGAGACAAAAATAGCTGAAATTATAAATATGTTTATTGAATGCAACCAAAATGAAATCAATTTAACGGCCATCAGTACATGGATTTATTAAATTGTGACAATTTAACGTATACATATATGCATACTAAGCAGAGACAGAAACCCATAAGATGGCACTTCCATAAAGGATTCTGCCAAAATTGTTCAATTATACTTTATAAACCAGTTAACTCATCGTGTCGATAGAAATCCCTGTCTCAATGTAGAACTGCGTGGATAACTCGACTATAGTGAGGTTTAATATATATATATATATATATATATATATATATATATATATATATATATATATATATATATATATATATATATATATATATATATATATATATATATATATATATATATATATATATATATATATATATATATATATATATATTATAGGTGTTTCTAACCCATTGCTTAATATTTAAAAGGCCTTACTTTTTAAGCCATTAATATTAGACAACATTTGAATGTTAGACTTTGGTAGTAAGAAATTAAGATTCTCAATAATTTATTTTCCAAAATGCTTTAATTACGTCGATGAATTAAACCAGAGTCATCATATATATTAGGTTTCGATCCATACATTGGTATGGATATTGTGGACATTGATATAAAGTAGACACAGATATTGATCTGTGTCAATTTTATACCAGAAGTTTTATTATTATTTGTATTATTTTTTTTTTTTTTGATAATTTTCAGTAACTATGATATGCATATATAATTATATACTGACTAAAAACAAACTGACATCTGTCTCTGATAACTAAGGTTAAACGTGAAACCAATATATGATTTATTATTTTTCATAGCAGTTCACGGCAAGAGTTATATAATCTATTTATATACGTAAAACTGCAAGAAAACTGATTTAATTGATATGTCTATTCTTTCCGAAATTTCTAGATAAGAAAGTAGAACTGTTAGGGGAACAATTATGGTAAAATTTTAATGCAGTAAACCTTAGACACATCATATCTTACAAAAGCCTCTTTCAACGAGAAACCATCCAGATATATTTAAGAAAAAATTCAAAGTCTGTGAAAGTTTACATTAATGTTATTATAATCATCTCTTTCGAAAGTGTATTGTAGAGGAGAAAATATATATTATATACTGTAAGAAACAACTAACTTTTTGTTTCGATAATTTGCACAAAGTCTGTCACTTTGTCAAAATGTATAAAGTATTGGCCAAAACACAACACTGCTTTTATAGACCGAAATCGGTAAATATAAACTCTAAATGTAGATGGTGAGTATTCCAACATATGAAAGTCAAAGATTTACATAAACAAATTAGCATTTAACAGCCGCTATCATAAGGACCTCCTTTTGAAATGAGACACAGTTACGTGTTTCTTAAGATTTAGAATAAAACTTACATTTCCATTAGAATAGCTTTAGCCAAAATAGAGAAAAATAGGAGACTTTTTTTTTATATATATATATACATACATATATATATATATATATATATATATCATATATATATATATATATATATATATATATATATATATATATATATATATATATATATATATATATATATATATATATATATATATATATATATATATATATATATATATATATATATATATATATATATATATATATATATATATATATATATATATATATAATATATATATATATATATATATATATATATATATATATATATATATATATATATATATATATATATATATATATATATATATATATATATATATATATATATATATATATGAAATGAACAAAATTCTTACAGCTTTAGTGTATATTAATAAATAATATTTTTCTGTGTATTTTTTCTAATTTCTGAAAAATCGAAAGTAGAGAAAAATTTAAAAAAAGTAAAAAAAATTGTTTTGCTTGTCGTAAAGGGGGACCAAGCTCCACTCCCACAACCGGTTTCTGGGCCTACCCTTCATCAGGTGGGCTGTCCAGGGGCTGGTTCTCACCGATACGGCAAGCAAAACTTCTTCTATATCTACAGACGATGTCGTAAAGTGTCGGTGAGATATTAGTGCATCTCCCGTTAAAGATGGTAAAGAGCGTTTTTCGGCCCGCTCAAATATATGAAATGAACAAAATTTTACAGCTTTAGTGTATATTAATAAATAATATTTTCTTGCCTTTAGCTGTGTATTTTTCTAATTTCGAAAAATCGAAAGTGGAAAAAAAATTTAAAAAAAATAAAAAGTAAAGAAAATTGTTTTGCTTTGTCGTAAAGGGGGGAACCAAGCTCCACTCCCACAACCGGTTTCTGGGCCTACCCTTCATCAGGTGGGCTGTCCAGGGGCTGGTTCTCACCGATACGGCAAGCAAAACTTCTTCTATATCTACAGACGATGTCGTAAAGTGTCGGTGAGATATTAGTGCATCTCCCGTTAAAAGATGGTAAAGAGCGTTTTTCGGCCCGCTCAAATATATGAAATGAACAAAATTCTTACAGCTTTAGTGTATATTAATAAATAATATTTTCTTGCCTTTAGCTGTGTATTTTTTCTAATTTCGAAAAATCGAAAGTGGAAAAAAAATTTAAAAAAAAATAAAAAGTAAAAAGAAAATTGTTTTGCTTGTCGTAAAGGGGGGAACCAAGCTCCACTCCCACAACCGGTTTCTGGGCCTACCCTTCATCAGGTGGGCTGTCCAGGGGCTGGTTCTCACCGATACGGCAAGCAAAACTTCTTCTATATCTACAGACGATGTACTTCTGTCCACAATCGTCCATATTTGTTCCATGATATATTTATGAATATTTTTCTCTTCCTTTAAAAGAATATTGAGTCTACGACGACTATTGTTAAATTTTATAACCCAGATATTTTTTTTTTTTGGAGTTTGATTTCGAAAATATGCTGGACTTCATCTTAACAATTATGACACAGGAGAGGATAGGCGACATGCCATGGCTCCTTGGTAAATTAGGGAGTTAAAATATTTTCTCAGATATAAAAGTTGGATCTGTGCTGAAGCCAGATCATTGGCTAAGACTGAATTCGTCTCCCGAAGAAGAATGTATCATCATCGAAGAGTCGAATGTTCTGTAGTCTCTTTGGATTGCCCTTCCCCCAACAAACTGCACAAATCGCTAGATTTGGTTATTTTCCTCTTCCTAGTTGCTGACCTTGTGTTCGATCTGTTTTGAGATAGTGACACTTAAATAACGACTGTCCTGCTTTTTGAACGTACAGCCTTATAAATATAATGTCTGGAGGAGTTTTCCTGTTGAAATATATCGTTTATTTTTTTTTTTTGAGGGTCTAAAATTTTTAGATTTATCACTTGAAATTCTTTTGTGAAATCTACTTCTACGATAACTAGACCGAGAACGTCATTTATAAAGGAATCCCTTTCACACGGAGAAGAGCATTCACTAAAATTACAAAATTTTGAATCATTGAGACAACAACACTTCACTCGATAGCGAGATCTGGAATATCTTAAAAAAAAAGGAATCCCTCTTACACGGAGTAGAGGATTCTCTAAAAGTACTAACCTTTGTCTCGCTATGAAAAGAACACTGGGAGAAGAAAAGTCCGTGTTTATACAATATTCCTCATCCCTTTGTTTTCTCCTTTCCTCTAATCCCCACATTTCGGGATGTACTTCTATTTATTTCCATCCAATATTCGTTTTACATGTAATACGTGTAATTAATTTTTCAATAAGGCTATCTATAACGTATAAAAGAAATCCCTCCCACATGGAGATGGGCATTCTCTAAAAGTACGAATTTTTGTCTCACTAGGAGATACAAACATTTGGCACCTAAATATATATAAATAATATTCTCTTGAGAGTGAGATCTAAAATCTCATAAAAAAAAGAAATCCATTCCAGAGATAGGTATTTTCTAAAAGTACAAAATTTTGTTTCATACCTTATTTCATTGCTGGGAGATAAAAAAAACTTTGGCATTTATAGTACTCTGTTGATTGCGAGATCTAGAATCTCATATAATAGGAATCCCTCTCACGAAGAGAAGGGCATTCTCTGTAAGTACGAAACTTTGTCTCACGGAGAGGACAACAGTTCGATATATATATATATATATATATATATATATATATATATATATATATATATATATATATATATATATATATATATATATATATATATATATATATATATATAGTTAGGCATATATATATATATATATATATATATATATATATATATATATATATATATATATATATATATGTTATTCTCATTTTTTCTTTTTGTCTAATTCCATTGTTGTGTGCCAAAATTCCTCCTTGTGTGCCAAAGCCCGGCGCTGCCACTTAGACTGGTAGCGGGAGGGAATTTAGCTTATAGCTTTAAAATTGTGCACGCAGGGGCGGTACTACGTATAGAAAAATGAAGATAATACATTCGGACTGGACGCGAATATAATTTTCGGAAAAGTTGGAAAAGTTCGCTAGTACCTTGAAAAAGTTTGAATAGCTGGAAATTTTGGATTTTGGTCGTAAGCGATTTCTCAATGTTTTATTCTAGTAATTTATCCTAATATGAAGGGCTGAGTATCATTATTTAGAAATACTTTTCTGCTGGGCTGGAACAAACTCATTCAAACAGACCAAGCCAACCGCCTTGATGCATTGCAAGACCATCTAAACCGTTCTGTCGAAAAGGCGAATCAAAAATTATTTTTTCGGTTACACGTCTGTGCTAAAAATCTGACTGAAAATCCGACGTTTTATGTAATTCTTCGCCTAATGTGCAATATCCAGAAAAGCGAAAATAAATAGTATCGGAACACTTTTAACTTTCGTACACGACACTGCTGCTGTCCAAGGTCGAATCCTAAATTAAAAAAAAGTTTTTTTTATCAAAAAAATTTTGTTCTTGCCTGCTAATAATAATTATTATCAAATTATGAATACTCTGGCCGCTGGCCATTTTCGATTTTATATGTTTTTGTCGATTTTCGAAAGTGTGAAAAAATTAGGTGAGTGTCGCAGTTTTTGGGACCATTTTTAGTGAAAATAATTGGTAGATTTAATTCGAATTAAAAAAAAATATATCTTATAAAATCTGTATAAACGTGATAAGTTACAACAGCGTAAAATTATTCCTCAAATCCGCAAATGATGATGATTTATCTTAGGAGCCTTCTACGTTATTTTTTTATTGTTTTCTTGTTTCATTGTTTTGTTTGCGTTTATATAGTATAAAATAATAAACTGGTGATAGGGTATTGTATTTACATAGTTTCCACCGAGGTTTCCACACACTACTCGTATAACATGAACATAGGTATAACTTGACACTTTAAATTACTTGACACTTTTAAATTACTCTAAAACTCAACTTTTCCTACTTTTCCAAGTTTTCCGAACTTTTCTTGAAAAGATGGTTTGGTTTGGTTAGGTAACCTAACCAAATTAATAATAGTTTACAACCAAACCAAACCACACAATTTCAACTTTTCAGAAAAAGTTGCAACACTACGTGGAGTAGATTACCTAGGTGTAAATACTAGATCTAGCGTCAAAATAGTTAAGTGTTATCTCATTAAACTTTTTAAGGTGGCCAGTTTGGATTTTAAACCTTGCTATTGCCCGACCTAAGAAAAATATTTAATTTCTAAGCATTATCTGTTTTTCTTACATTTCTGGATGTTTTTTTTACAACTGACAACAAGGAAACAGTAAAATTTTTAATTCAACATTTTAGCCTAAACATTCTCTACTAACTCGATGGGTCAAATGTTTATCTGCCAATTGAATTATCTGTTTATCAGCTTAGTAAAAAAATTCTGCAAATACCGAGGAAAATACCTACAGTTTTTATTTTACCAAAATTCCATTGCCTTTAAGAGTGTATTTTAGTCGTGTATTGACAAGTGTTCAGTTCTGACAAGATTAACAAAATGCTTTTTACTTCGCAACAATATGCAGAAATGCATTTTGTTTATGGATTGTGTAATGGACGTGCTCTACGCGACGTGCTGCAAGACTTTATCGTCAACGTTGCCCGAACTGGCAACACTATCCCGATTATCGTGTTTTTATTCGGGTACATAACACATATGTTGCTGGAAGGTTACCTGGAGTCCCAATAGAACGTATAAGAAGGCCAAGGCAATATGACGATGATGTGGAAGCCGTGTTAAATCAAGTAGAAGGAGATCCTTCAACCTTCAAGAGGTATTCGTGGCATGGCAGAAACTATGGAAATACCAAGATCAACAATCCATCGCATATTAAGACTATATCAAATGCATCCTTTCCATTTTTAACGAGTGCAAGCTTTATTACCTGCAGACTACCCATTAAGAGTATTTGTAGGGAAATGTTGCAGCGAACCAGAAACGATTATAATTTTTTCCAACACATTTTATGAACAGATAAATGCAGTTTTAGCCGAATTGGAATGTTTAACATTCCTAATCTACATTATTGGGCAATGGAGAATCCAAGAGCGATTAGAGCTGATCGATTTCAACATCAGGTTTGTAATAATTTATGGGTTGGAATAATTAACGGCACTTTGATCGGCCCGTTTGCAATACCAAGAAGACTGAATGGAGCAAATTACCATAATTTTTTACAAGACGATTTAAATATTTATATTATTGGAGGATATTCCGATTGCAAATACGTGCGAATATGTGGTTTCAGCTTGACGGGGCTTCCCCTCAATTTGCTCGCAATGTGAGATAGTTTCTTGGCCAAACATTTCCCAACATGTGGATAGGGCGAGGAGGAACAATAAGATGGCCACCACGTTCGCCGGACTTAAATCCGTTGGCTTTTGTTTTGTGGGGATACTTCAAGGAATAGGTTTATTCGCATACAATCCATAACGAAGATGAACTTCGTGAAAGAATAAGAGCAGTGGCAGAGCAAATTCGTACCAATGTTCCCGCTTTAAGGCGCATAAGACGAAATTTTATACGTCGATGCAGAGATTTTGTATTAGAGCAAATGGTGGACATTTTGAACAACTTTTGTAACCTAATTATTATTATAATTTTTTATGTAAATAATTTCGTTATAAATAAATTTACTTATTTAAATTGACTTTTTTGACATTACAATTATGTTTAACAAATTTCAGCAATAACAATTATTTGATTATTTTTAAAAAGTACCCTATTTAAAAAAGAATACCTTACCGTGGTTTTTTATGTTATGGGACACCTTTTTAATTGAGTATTTTTTTTCTGAAAAATTACCACAAACTTTAAAGTTTTTCAATTAAAATCCTAAAAATGTGCTTAAAAATGACAGTAGGTTGCGTAATCAGCACGAACAATAAAAAATGCGCTGTACAATAGAGAAGCCTTTATAGAGATGCTATTAAAATTTTATTTGAGAAAAAAATATCAACAGAAATTTTTTGAAAAAAAAATTGTGAAGAAATGTGAGATTATCATAAAAATTACAAAAATAGCAATAACTCAGAAACGGTAAGGAATCGGACATATTATGTCTATAGGACTTTTTTTGTTGGAAATAACCTCCCCAACCTATTAATTTAATTTGATACATCATTTTTGGGACACCCTGTATATTTTAAAAAAATGGCTGCTGTTTTGGTCAGCAGGGTCAGAGTTCAAGGTGCTGCGGGTCAAATTACTTCTACAGATAGTGACCGAAAATAATTGAATACGTCAATCAATCCTAATTTATTTCATATCCTAACATACCAAATCTCGTTTTTTTATCTGAAAAAATAAAAAAGTTATAGGGGTGAGCCACTTTTGAGACGCACCCGGTATAACATAAATTAATATTGATTGACTAGTGCCATTCTTTAAAAGATCAGCCTGGGGGCGAGATTTATGACGTCGCGCTAGTTAGATACTACGGATTAATAAATATGTTGTAGAATACAGGGAAATCATATTTATTCCTCATATTTTTGGTTTGTATTTTAAAAATGATATAGTTTAAATGAAATATACATAATATACAGTTAATAAATACTATATATATAATTATTTATAGTAATAAATACTTTGGCAAATAAACTATGAACCATACAAATACAGAAAATGTTTTACAATATACAAATACATAAGATAATGGGTAAAATGTAAAATATATTTTAAATTTTGGGGTTTGAAAATCGATCTAATTTAACAAAAAACATTCAATATCTACTAATGTGATAACAAATAATACCAAAAATCTACCGACAAAATATGAATACAGAATCTAACCCAATATCTAAGTAAGTACAGCTGATGAAGTAAACAAAAGTCCGCCTCCAGGCTGATCTTTTAAAGAACGGCAGTGGATTGACGTATTCAATTCTTTTCGGTCACTTCCTGTTTTACCGGAAATGATAACAACTTTTGATTTTTAAATAACCCCCTGGGTATTTTTTTTAAAGTATTCGATTGAAAATGTTACAGCTAAGCTTTGAATAAAAAGATAAAAACAATATAAAGTAAATAATAAAAAAATAAAATAAAATAATAAAAAGAAGTATAATGCTATCCATGTATTCATGCATGGTCGGCGGAAAAAGGAATCTAGGGTGGGGATCCTTGACAGTTCTGTTTGATGATTCATTTGACATATTTGAATTTGACTTGAAATTTTGTGGATTTGTCAGTCTTTATTGAGCTTATTTTATGTTATTTATTATTTATTCTACTACTGATAGTTATATAAAGGTAGTAAATCTAGATGGAAATTGTGGCAGAACTTAAATTAACAGTGACACTATTGCGATTTATCGAAAAAGACTGTAAAATAGTTGGTTGTGTAGCGTGCGGTAGATCTCAATCAAAAATCGAGTGAAATAATGGAATATCTTTTCGCTGGTAAGTGATTATATAATATACATACGTGTAGTAAATCGATCATTAATGAAATTAACTTATTAATATATTTTTTCTTCCATTTTTGCTTTTATTTACTACTTGTCAAAGATTACATATGTCAAAGAATTTAGATCAAGTTTAGGTACGTCAATTTGACTTACCTGCTTCAGTAGCGTATCAGATGTTTGTGTTAATAAAATTAATTATAATTATTATAACTTATCTATTTTTATTAGAATTATATATTT